AACACCATTGGAAGTTTATACCTACATGGGTACCTTGAGTTCCAATCGTGTTTACATTGAGGTGATAAGCACATTTAAATTGCAAAACCCAAGCTAAGTTCTTCACTACTAAAAAAGGAGGACAAACCTTTACAGTGAACACACTGTATATTTGTGAACACACATCAAAGTGATATAAATATAAACAGTCAGATTTATCTTGAACATTTTGCTATTTATTGTAGTCCACTAGATTTTTCACTAGATTTTATCACACAAGAATGTAGTCGATTAACAGCCAGCATTAAATTGACACTAGACAACAGTTAAAGGAACTCTAGAGGGGTGGGACTCGCACTGCTTATGGGAACGTAACGACTCTAGGCTGATTGCTTGCTTGATTCCACCCCCAGATTCTGCTTCTTCTACTACTACTACAAGTTCTCAGTAAACAATATGATGGACCTTTCAGTGGCTTCTCATCTGGCAAATTCATTTGAGACCTCTGCATGGTGGTAAACCCTTATTAGCATTTACACAACTAACTAAATTAAACGGAGCAATAAAACACAGTAATGTGATAAGTCACCTTTTTTTGATTGCTGTTGTAACTTCGCTAAACAAATGGTTGTAAGTCAAGAACTACCTGTAGTGGATTAATGTTCTCCTGATGTCAACCTGAATCAAGATATCTTTAACCACAATAGAAGCTCGAATGCAAATATTGAAGGATTTGTTCTGTTTATCCAAAGAAGGCAACAACGAATGACAGAGTTACTCACCTGCCCAGCAGTAAAAATTCACTGGCCAGCCCCAAGCGTCTCATTGCCATCAACAGTCCTCGTACTGTCATGCCTTCGCAGAAACAGGCGACAACTCTTGCTTTGGGTAAGTGGCTTCTGAGCTTTTCCAACAATTTATCAAAACTCTGTTCTCCGGCATTGCTGTAGATCTTGTAAGAATGAGCGATGCAGATCCCTTCTTTACCTGACATGTCTTTGAAGGCTTCCATCCCACTTTCACCATAGTTTCCTAGAGCAAGAACCAAGAGA